GTCGCCGCGTCTAGATTGTTGTCGAGGGGAGGCAGGGCGGGGAGGGATATGGAGAGGCGAGCGGGGGGAGGAGAAGGAAAGGAGGAGGGGACAGGTTAAGCGTCTGTTTCGGTCGCTGTGGCGAGGCAGGGAGGTCGAGGAGGAAAGCTAGCATGGGGGGCGTGGCGTCTGGTTCGGTCGCCGCGTGTATGAGGGGAGGAGGCAGGGACGGGGTCAGGTTTGGTCGTTGGTGTGGAGTGGGAGAAGGGCGGAGAAAGGGGGAGGGACAGGGGCGGTCGCGTATGCAAGCGGGAGGAGGAGAGGGAAAGGGGAAGGCACAGGGCCCAGCGTCTGTTTCGGTCGCTGTGGCGAGGCAGGGGCAGGGCTATGAAGAAAGCAGGGAGGGCGCAGCGTCTGGTTCGGTCGCCGCGTGTAGGAGTGGAGGAGGCATGGGAAGGGGGTCAGACATAGGCGCGATGGTCGAGGGGGAATGGGCAGAGAGAGACGACTACTTTCTTGTTCCTGTTTTGGGTCGGGGTGGCTTGGCCACAGAACTGGACCCCGCAAAAGGCGAAATTTTGGCGAAAGTTCAGCTCAAGATCGGTGAAAGTTGACCCTGCCACATTCGGCCCCTAGCCCATTATGAGTAAGTTCGAGTGACTGGCTGCTACTGTGATTTCGCGTGTTTGATTCTTGCTGACTCCCAAGAGAAACAAAACAGACGCACAGGGTGTCAACAGCTAAGTAGAAGACACATGCTGACAGACTGTGAAGTTCTAATATTTCGTGTTTGCCAGTAAAGAAAGAAGGAGTGACGTGAACACAACCACAACACACACATGGCACACATAAGAGCAACATACTGCGGCGAAAGATAGAACGCAGGAAGGCGAAAGGTTGGGTAAATAATTTTATTGTGGCGAAAAGGATCGAGCGCGGAGAAAGGAATTTTAGATCAACTCGCGCATGCAACAGTGCACAGAGAAGGTGGAAGCGGGTTGTCTGGAGTTCTTTGGACATATTGAAAGCAAGTGAAAGTGGCAGAGGGAAAAATTATGGTTTCTGCGAGGATTGTTTTTTTGAAACACGTGTTACATTGTTAGTCAAGTGAAGGTCTGTCAGGCAGAGAAATGCGAAAAGAGACGTTGAGGCAGTGGACGGGGGAAAGGAAATTTGAGGCAGGGAACGTGTAAAAGTGAACTGGAGGAGGAGGAAATGCGATGTGTGGCGTGGGCGAATTTTGGGGACTGTTTTACTGTGAGTCGGTCAGTGGCAGGAAACTGGCGGAATGGAACTGGCGACAGGGGAAATGCGAAACAGGGCACCTGAGCAGTGAACTGGGCAGAGGACACTGGACGCAGGGAACTGGCTCCAGGGACCTTGAGGCAGGGAACTGGAAGCAGGGAACTGGAGGCAGGGAACTGGAAGCTGGCTCCTATCCTGACCTGGCGCACGTGGGCTCTGGCTGCTATCCTGACGTGGCGCAGGGTTTTGGTGGTGGCG